GATGTGCAAAACAGACAAACTAATAAGGCTTTATTTAAACATTAAAGAATACTTTAGGTTAAGGTCTTCTTTGAAATAAGAAAAAAGCTTTGGGGGTATCTATCTACAGATACATATTAAGCCTGACAAAGTACTTAACGTCTAATATATTGCATGGTTTGTTTTGGAACTTGACAATCAACTTTCCTGCAATGTTAACTATGTTGAAGCACTTATTTTAACTGATATTATACATTCATTATACTCTTATAATATGTATGTAGATAGAATAAGAAATGTGCAGAATATGTCTAATGGTGGAGGTATACACACATATCGATAGATGTCTTGTAATGCACTGTTGAGGAACCTGTGACCCAAGTGTTTCATTCATTGCATAACTACACCGTAGTTGTGTATGATATGTCAATAAACCTTTGAAAATCTTGAAATCTTGAAAGGGATGTGCAAAATAGCCATAATATGCAGTCTTTAATTAACTATTAGTAGAGAATAACGAGTAATGAATATACTTTATAGAGATCTGCAGATAAATGTTTAGTCTTCTCAAGCACCAACTATCAAACATCTCTCCTGATTGTTGGCACTTGACAATCACCTTCCCTGAATTTGACTCAGGTGTAACTAAAGTCTGATTTAAGGGTTGTTTATATTTCACATCATTAATCAGAATCTGTAAAGTAACTAAAATAAATGTAGTGGAGTAAAAATACCAGGTTAACCTTAAAGAAAGCCCTCAGGATTATCAAAGACCCCCATCACCCCAGCCACAAACTGTTCTGTCTGCTGCCGTCTGGCACAACAGCCGCATTCTAGGAGAGGATGTGGCTGCTGTGGAGGACTACATGTACCTGGGAGTGCACTCAGACAATGGGCTGAACTGGGGGATCAACACTGACGCTGTGTACGAGAAGGGGATGAGCAGACTCTATTTCCTGAGGAAGCTGAGATCCTCACGTGTGCAGCAAGATGCTGGAGATCTTCTACCAGTCTGTTCTGGCCAGTGCACTCTTCTTTGCTGCGGTCTGCTGGGGGGGGGGGGGGGGGGGCATAAGAGCTGGTGCCACCAGCAGGATCAATAAACTGATCAGGAAAGCTGGGTCTGTCATCGGCATCAAGCTGGACCCCTTTGAAGCTGTGGTGGAGAGGAGGACACTGAACAGGCTGTTGTCCATGATGGATAACCCCACCCATCCTCTCCACCTGCAGCTGGACAGTCAACGGAGCTCCTTCTCCAACAGACTGCTGCAGCTCCGCTGTCACAAGGACCGATAGAGGAACACATTCCTGCCCACTGCAATAACTCTGTACAATAAATCACCTCTGCTGGAAGAGAACTCTCTGCTCCATAGTTTCTCTTGGAATAAAACCTCGCTGTACATTTTACACATATAATCTGTTCAATATTTAATATTCCATATTCCATGTCATATATTTTTGAATATATATATATTTGCATATATATCTACATGTATATTTTCTATTTCAACATGTATATTTTCTATTTTCTTTTCTTTCTATTCTTGTTTATTTGTAGTTTTGTTTTATTGTAAAATGCCTTGTCTTTTATGCTGCTGCAACAAAAACAATTTCCCAAATAGGGATCAATAAAGTACCATCTTATCTTATCTTATCTTATCTTATCTTATCTTATCTTATCTTACATCCGGACTAAAACCACCAGACTCAGGGACAGCTTCATCCCACAGGCCATAAGACTATTAAACACCTGAACTTTGAAACAACATCCATAACATTCATCTGGCTGCTACTTAGAAATGATTTATCTAATATATCATATTCCAATCACTTGTATAGACCACTATTTCACTTCTTACTATTTTTCTGTTTGTATTGACTTGCACCATTTTTTCTGTGTATCTGTTTTATTGTGTTGCACTGTTGGAGAAGCCTGTGACGTAAGGGGGGGGGGGGGGGGGGGGGGGGGGGTAGGAGACGTTCGATTCCTGTTTGAATAGTGTGCCGTCGATGGGTTTCATTCCATTTCAAAATGCTGTTTGACGCTCTGGCGTCAACTTCGGACGGGGTTTGTCAAGCAAAGCACATGGTGTAGTCCCAAACGATAGCTGAGGATTCTGGGTAGTGTAGTGTCTTCTGCCATCCTAAACTGAACAAATATTTGTTTCTCCGAATGGAAGGGGAAAATACAAAAGCATTGCACACAATTTAAACCAATCAATGTTGTGTAATTAACAAGGATAATCTGGTGTTTTTGAGTTGATGAGTAGTGCAGATATCACTGTAAGATCAATCGACAGTAAGGGGAATACTTACTTCCGGGTGTAAAATCCTGCGTTATCCAATGGGAATGGACGCTCACATTGCTCTCCGTAATACAATAAAGGGGACATGATCAAATAGGAATATAATGTTCTTTTAAAAAACGTTAACTAAAGGGAACAATCTATTTGACACAGCTGAAGCTCTGGCCTTCCTTAAAAACTAACTAATTTAATAAAAATCACAGTTGTATTACACACAATGCACTGTTTTTTGAGAACACAAATTCATAAATAATGCACCATAATACATTCTGACGAAAAATACAAATTATTATGAATACAAATAAAATAAAAGAAGCCTCCCCTGAGTTACTACAAGCTATAAAGTAGATTTTAAAAACGTTTTATAGAATAAAAGCTCACTGCTGGACGTTGTAGAAATGCGTGTGTGCACCACGACAAAGGAGCCTTGTTCACTTTACATTGGGGTTGTTTGCGTGGTGCAGACACGTAAATGTAGCAGAGTTCGTGACTCCACCACGCACTGCGGTGTTAAGGAGTCGTGGTGGAGTCACGCATTCTGGTGAGACCTGAGGCCTGTACTACGAAGCCAGTTCAACCTAACCTGGATATGTTTGAGTTAGCCGGTTGGCCTAATCCAAAACATACACGCTCTCGCTAAACGGTACTACGACGCGGGTTATCAAGTGGATCGCTCAAACCAGCCGTGCCCTATCTAGTTAGGTGCGCGTTCACATGAAAGGGGTGGTATCTGGAGCATTCGACCAATCACAAACATGGACAAGCATACTGACAGCGCAGCGTCATACTTCCTGAATGAAAAGTCAACTATATAATTAGACAAATATGAAGACGTTAAACTTTAAACATCGATGACTTAAACACTTTATCCAGGATCAAAGCCACATAGCTGCACCTGCAAGGTGAATACAGCTGGTAAAAGAAAAAGTGTTTGAATGCGTACATTAACAGGTTTATGATATCACTGCCCCGTCTAAAACACGATCTGACTTTAATTACATTTGTCTCGAGTGTTTCGTCAACTTAATGTGTTGCTTAAAATAATACTTCTGCATACAGTATGTGACACTGTGAGTGTTGCACGGCCAGATACGGCTCAGCTGACTCAGATAAGGAGATATATGATACATGAAGTGATATGCCGCGGACTGTAGGCCTACTTAATGTTACTCTGATCCGGTTACTTATGTTGTGGCAGATATTTAATTAAGCTTTCTTAACGCTAATGTTATAATAGTCAGATTGCTCTGAAGATGGGAGGGGATATTCTATTAATGTTCACGTTCACACAGTCGGTGATTTTTGCCGGCCGTCTTTCCTGCAACGGCAGTTTTTCTGTATTTCCTTTCTCCTGTAATATGACTTGATCGCTTTAAACTGAGTTGATCTCTTAGCCTCCAACCTAACCTGGGAGGTATACTACGAAGCAGGATTTTCGCTTAGCGGCTAAATTCAGGGAAAACTCCGGCTTTCCAGTCCTACGAAGCTGGTTCTCTTTTTAGCAGGCTAGATCTCCATGGTAACTTATGCTTAGCGGCTAACCTGGTCGGGACCAGGTTAGGTTGCAGGCTAAGAGCTCAACTCAGTGAAAGCACTGCCTGCTGACCAATCAGAGCTCAGTGTGCGGAGTTTCAAGCGATCAAGTCATATTACAGGAGAAAGGAAATACAGAAAAGCTGCCGTCGCAGGAAAGACGGCCGGCAAAAATCACCGACTGTGTGAACGTGAACATTAATAGAATATCACCTCCCATCTTCAGAGCAATCTGACTATTAGGCTATAACATTAGGGTTAAGAACACTTACCACATATCTGCCACAACATAAGTAACCGGATCAGAGTAACATTAAGTACAGTCCGCGGCATATCACTTCATAATGTATCATATATTTTCTTATCTGAGTCAGCTGAGCCGTATCTGGCCGTGCAACACTCACAGTGTCACATACTGTATGCAGAAGTATTATTTTAAGCAACACATTAAGTTGACGAAACACTCGAGACAAATGTAATTAAAGTCAAATCGTGTTTTAGACGGGGCAGTGATATCATAAACCTGTTAATGTACGCATTCAAACACTTTTTCTGTTACCAGCTGTATTCACCTTGCAGGTGCAGCTATGTGGCTTTGATCCTGGATAAAGTGTTTAAGTCATGGATGTTTAAAGTTTAACTTCTTCATTTTTGACTAGTATTAAAGTTCACTTTTCATTCAGGAAGTATGACGCTGCGCTGTCAGTACGCTTCTCCATGTCTGTGATTGGTCGAATGCTCCAGATACCACCCCTTTCATGTGAACGCACACCTAACTAGATAGGAAACGGCTGGCTTGAGCGATCCACTTGATAACCACCGTCGTAGTACAGTTTAGCGAGAGCGCGTATGTTTTGGATTAGGCCAACCGGCTAACTCAAACATATCCAGGTTAGGTTGAACCAGCTTCGTAGTATAGGCCCCTGGTCCCGACCAGGTTAGCCGCACAGCATAAATTACCATGGAGATCTAGCCTACTAAAAAGAGAACCAGCTTCGTAGGACTGGAGACCCCGAGTTTTCCCTGAAGTTAGCCGGCTAAGCGAAAATCCTGCTTCGTAGTATACCCCCCCTGGTTGGTTTGCTGTGTAAATAGTCATCTGTTTGCTAATTTGTTTACAAGGCGATACCACGTCCATGTTCTGTGGCTTCCAAGCACCAAATACAAATCCTGAGAACTCACCCACTGGCTGGTAGCCCTGCCTCGTAGGACCTCCGAACGGGTTGCGACTGCCAAAAGAGCCCCCGTCAATGGACCCGTACGACATCCTGTCTGATGGCTGTTGGCCTGTCAGCTGTAGGCGCCTGGGGAGGGAACAACAAGAACAAAAAAAACAATGTATATCCACTTTGCTCTCCCAGACTAAAAGTGATGCACTCACGGCACTGACAGTAAGTGACCAAACAAAAGCTGTGTACAGATGGCATTCCAAAAAGCGTACTGGTAATGGAGGTTTTAACAGGCAGCACTGATCGAGGTTTACTGTAACTGTCCGTGTCGGTTTATTTACTGTCTGTCTTCTTCTGAACTTCCTGTTAGTGTTTACTTCCTGTCTGTCTTCTTATGCTGTTCCCTTTAGTGTTTACTTCATGTATGTCTTCTTCTGCTGTTCCCTTCAGTGTTTACTTCCTGTCTGTCTCCTTCTGCTGTTCCCTTTAGTGTTTACTTCCTGTCTGTCTTCTTCTGCTGTTCCCGTTAGTGTTTACTTCATGTATGTCTTCTTCTGCTGTTCCCTTCAGTGTTTACTTCCTGTCTGTCTCCTTCTGCTGTTCCCTTTAGTGTTTACTTCCTGTCTGTCTTCTTCTGCTGTTCCCGTTAGTGTTTACTTCATGTATGTCTTCTTCTGCTGTTCCCTTCAGTGTTTACTTCCTGTCTGTCTCCTTCTTACTTCCCTTTAGTGTTTACTTCATGTCTGTCTTCTTCTGCTGTTCCTTTCAGTGTTTACTTCCTGTCTATCTCATGGATGTATAATAATAACTGGATACAGCGTGGGAGGCGGGTTCTCGTTCTTTCCTATGAGAGCTGCTCATTGGCGCATGAAGACAAAATGGCCCAATTTTTGAGAGAGCGAAACGTCACAGATTACCCATCATGCCTGGCTGTCAGAGCAGAAGTACCCGTATGTGCAGTCACAGAGCATGCGCCCCTTATGCCCCGCCCCCCGAGCTCCCACTCTCGGCTCACTAGAATGAATGGAGGGAGAAAATAAATGTAGATTCGGCTTTTAGTCCATTTTACAACTTTAAGGACCGAATGATTCTAATAAGGGCTATAAAACAATTCATACTGGGTAGTTTATTTAGTTAAAAAAAAAATTATCCACCGATTTACAGACGTCTCTTTCCCCATGTTAGTCAATGGGAAAAAGCTGTTTTGGGCCGGGTGACGTCACGGACTGATACGGAAGTTGCAATACCGCCGTTTGGACACAACGAATATTGGCACAGAGTCCGGCGCACTTCCTGGGGGCTTCGTCTATCTCCATCTGCTGTTCCCTTTAGTCATTCCTTCATGTCTGTCTTCTTCTTCTGTTCCCTTCAGTGTTTACTTCCTGTCTGTCTTCTTCTGCTCTTCCCTTTAGTGTTTACTTTTTGTCTGTCTTATTGATTTCTGTGACATCAAGCGTTCTGTCTTTTAACCTCTGCCCTTCACACATATAACAATTTATGTTTTTTGATGGAGAAAACAAATGTTTCTCGTCTACATCTGACTTCTTTCTGCGGATGATATAAATGCACATAGTCCCTTGATCCCCCTTAGCATTTATTTTTGCCAAAAATAACAGACCTCTGGAAGGTCCGAATTGACCAATCAGAATCGAGTTGTTAATTAAGCCGTGTGATAAGGAATACGAGGTCTTCCTATTGAACATCCTTCAAGATTGCGCCGATTTATGGAGGCTTGATTTGTCGCAGATTTCCTCTGTCTTCCTCTTTTACATACATACATGTGATACATTAATTCAAAGAGATTAATGTATCACTCGACTCTCTCAACCCGCCATGAACTGGACCTGCTATTAACCAGAAACTGCTCTACCAGTACTACTTTTTAAGTGTTGAGCATGAAAAGCTGTGGAATTATACATGTTGAATACATTAGGGATAATGTCAGTGTTCAAATATTTTGGAGTCAGCCTCTTTAGAATGTTAACCATAACCCACTTACAGAAGGAGAGTCGAGAGGATACAGCATACTCATCTGAATACGGCAGAAAAGGTCAAATCATCATGTGAACATGTGTTTCACCCGCGGCCAGAGAAACAGATGAAACTCTAATCAACAACCCCCCGCCCCCTCAGCACTTCAGCAACTCTATCAAAGGTCATAATATCAGACTGGTCAAGTGGCCAATGCTCTTTCCCCACCGTGAAAGACAAGCATTCAAACGAGCAGCAGAATGTGATTACACAGTCATTGTGCAGCCCTTTGTTATGGTGAAGCCAGTGAATCCTGCCTATAGGAACGGCATTATGGGTAGGAAACGGGACAGAGGAGCGGCCATTACGGGGACACAGATTCACTGGGCCACGAGAATGTTTAATCCGATTTATTTTTGTAGAGAAGGGAGATTAATTGCCTTTGGCAGTCCATAAACAATCTTCACTCTGCTTAAATTCAAGCCCAGCGACTGCACCTCACGTCCCTCCAAAATGTGAACACACACCGCCTCTATCTGCATGCACGATGCACACCCATGGATGCACAAATCCAAACACACGCACGCGCACACATACACACACATTTGGATAACCTTACCCTTCACCACTGTGCAGATTTATAAAGTCCCCTAGTTCTTCAATCTTTTTGCTCATACAAGGGCAAACTTAGTCATTTCTGTCAGGAATAACTTGATAAATCTTATTACATTTTTCAAGTTGTAATGTCTCTTTGCAATATGTCTTGTTAAATAATTGTATTTATATTTGATGATGTAAAAAGGCAGAATCAGTACCCTTATACAAGAATGAATTATGTCTTTTCTGGTTAAGCAAAGCTACAAAATGATGTTCATTGATTCAAAGACACTCGACTGTAAATCATGTTTGCAGGGAAACATGTTTTCTGGACCATGGTTGTGGCTTGAAACACGAGTGTTTTGCAAATTATTCTCAGAGTTCTGAGAGCAGGAGAGTTTTGCCATCTTGAAAAATATATGTAAAATCCAACTATTTAATAATTCATGTTTAGTCTATTTGTATTTTTTGAACATTAGTATTGCTTTTATATTTGTTTTGTTATTTCAAATTGATGTTTTTTTTATTTGAAACTTGTCGGTGTTTACATCCCACCGAATGTGAACGTGCAGGAGGCACAGCGCACACTCGCCGACCAGATAATATGTTTGGAGAGGACTTATCCGGACTAGTTATTGTTCTTGGTGACTTTAACAAAGGCAATCTCAGCCATGAACTTCCTAAATACAAACACTTTGTTGAATGCCCCACCAGAGAGGGGAATATTATGGATCACTGTTACACCACCTTCAAGGGAGCCTATCACGCCGTCCCCCGCGCTGCACTGGGCCACCCTGACCACACCATGGTACACCTGATACCGGCATACAGGCAGACACTCAAACTGTGTAAACCTGTAGTGAGGACATTCAGGCAGTGGAGCAGTAAAGCTATGGAGGAACTTCAGGCGTGTTTGGACTGTACTGACTGGGATGTGTTTAGGACTGCTACTCAAAGTCTGGATGAATATACAAAGGCTGTGACGTCATACATCAGCTTCTGTGAGGACAGCTGTGTACCAACACGCACCAGGGTGAGTTTTAACAACAACAAGCCCTGGTTCACATCAAAACTGAAATAGCTTAGACTACAAAAGGAGGAGGCGTATAGGAGTGGCGGTGAGAGATGTTAAACGACAATACTCTGAGAAACTCCAACACCAGTTCTCAGCAAACGACTCTGCTTCTGTCTGGCATGGACTAAGGCCCCGTCCACACGGAGACGATATCAGTTGAATCCGCTAACGTTCTCTATCGTATAGACGGTTCGTCCACACGAGGCCGAAACGGAAACGCGGATTCGGAGCCCAAATCCGATACACTTTGATAACGGCTCCCAAAGTGGGTAGGTCTGAGGACGAAACGCTTGCGGCTCCGTGTGTCCGCCACAAAATACACCAAAAGCAGCGAAGAAGACCCCCCGAGCATGCTTGCCATGGTTGCCCTTCTGTTTATTCTCCGCGGTGGATGTAGTTCATGTAGTTCTCCATGTCCACTTGTTGCTGATGGTTGTGGTAGAGGAGCTGTAGATTTTGCACTAACATCTGTAGCATGGTCAGTAGCAGTAGCTACTGACCATGCTACAGCAGTGATCAGCAGAGGTGGGGAGAGGCGGGGCTATGGCTTCATCGTTATCAGGAAATTATCGTATAGGACGTACACACGGAGCAGTTAGGATAACTGTAGCGGATACAACCCGTTTCGTCTCCGTGTAAACGTGGCCTTAGTTCTACTGTAGATTTGGCGACAAAGAGTTCAGTCCTGACATCATCCTCCGTGACACCTCCCAACAGCTTCAGTCTCACACCTCCATGCCCCCCCCCCCCTTCAGTGTCCCACTTTCCCACACCACTGCCCTTCCCTGACACATCAGATACTCTCTCTATCAATGAGAAATATCTAAACACACTTTTTAGGAGACTCAGTACCAGAAAAGATGCTGGCCCTGACAATTTCTCCCCCTCCACTCTGAGGCACTGTGCAGATCAGCTGTCTCCTGTGTTTACTGACATATTCAACACCTCACTGGAGACATGCCACGTTCCAGCATGCTTCAAATCCTCCACCATCATCCCGGTTCCCAAGAAAACAAGGATCTCAGGATTAAACGACTACAGACCCGTCGCCCTGACCTCTGTGGTTATGAAGTTCTTTGAGCGCCTTGTCCCACCTGAAATCCATCACAGACCCCCTCCTGGACCCCCTGCAGTTCGCCTAGAGAGCCAACAGGTCTGTGGACGACGCTGTCAACATGGCCCTTCACTTCCTCCTTCAGCACCTGGACACAGCAGGAACCTACGCCAGGATCCTGTTTGTGGACTTCAGCTCCGCCTTCAACACCATCATCCCGGCTCTGCTGCAGGACAAATTCTCCCAGCTGCACGTGCCCGACTCCACCTGCAGGTGGATCACAGACTTCCTGTCTGACAGGAAGCAGCACGTGAGGCTGGGGAAACACGTCTCTGACCCCCGGACCATCAGCACCGGTTCCCCTCAAGGCTGCGTTCTTTCCCCTCTGCTCTTCTCCCTGTACACCAACAGCTGCACCTCCAGTCACCAGTCTGCCAA